AACCTTGCAAGTCGACGAAAATTGGTACGTCAGACATCGTTGTCAATCATCGGAAAAACTAACATTCCCATTCGCACATGTCAAATTTATAACTTTTTATACGAGTCTGCGCACAACGTTATTTAACGGATTATATTCAACCATTCGATCGTGTATAATGAGACAATAGGCGGTGGTGTTGGCCGGTATATTTTCTTTACAATCAAATTCTATTCGCACGTCAACGGTAGCGCTCTTGACAGAGTTGTTTTGTCGCGAACAATCTATGACTACGAACGGACCGGCTTTCAAGAATTCATCGATATTCAAATACGTATTATCGAATCCGTAATAAGCTTTGCGGAAACGCGCATACATGTTGTACAGTATAGCGTATCGATTTCTGTCGAAATCCAAGTTCATGTCGTCGTACGGATAAAAATCTGAATTCAGATGCAGTCTCACATTGGTGAGTTTACAAGCATCAAATTGAGCAGTGTTTTCAGAGAGCACATTTTTTCGGCCGGTTTGGAGAGCAAAGATTACGTATCGCGGTTTTTCCTATTGCGTCGCGGCTTTGACTGCCCAGGAATGCTTGGTCGTGTTTTGCAGCATGGGAAATTCATACAGATCCCATGAACGGAAACACATACTCAAATATCTTCCGCTTTCCAAAGCTCGAAGAAAAGACAGCTTGTTGACTTCGCTCAGAACTACGTGTGGCATTCGCCACTGTATCTTGAGTGGTTCAATCATTGGATTCGTACCAGCTCGTGCGATTAGACAATTGTTATCGTTGCGCGAGCATATCAATATAAGTTCGTGACGCGCGTTGATTACAATCCGCTTGTAATCCTCGCAGAATTCCAAAAGAATATTGAGCGGAATGCAAAAATTAAAGTATCCATCGATTAACGGATATCCATTCGGATTCCACGATGCGTATTTCAGCGTCTTGCTTTTCTCCGTCGTCAGCGATATATAGTTTTTGATTGTGCTCGTTATTCCAACGTTTCTGTTACGATCAATTTCAACTCCGTCGAGCTTGTATCGCATTTCATCAAACATGAACGCGACACAATTATTTCCCATTATACACACGTTATCTCTAGCCTCATTAGTAAAATTCGTAACGAGTTTTCCTTGAATGCACAGTGGGATAGAATCCCGAAAAGTGGCAGAAAGTCCGTCTAAAATTAATTTTGTTTAAAATTATGAAATTATGTACTAATATAAAGTGTTTGGGGTTGCAGATTTCAAATTTGATACTACAATTTTCAAATTCAAAATGGCGGATCCAATATGACAACATAAAATAATAATTATAACTTAACTGGGACTTCCGTTTCCGGCGCAGTAGCGAGAGGCACGTGGTGATTGAGCGTGAGTGAGTGACGGAAAGGAGAGAGTGTGTGGAAGGAGAGGAAAGGTAGGAGTGTGTGGAGGAGAGAGTGGAGGTGTGAGTGAGAGCGTGTGAATGAGGTGGGCATAGGGAAGAGCAGGATAGAAGGGAAAAAGGGCCCAGAGTATAGAGTGACAGGTGGGCAGGTGGGCTGGCATAGACTACGGCGTGTAAAGAGAGGAAGAGGTGGTGCGAGTGGGCAGGGATGGATGGTAAGGCGCGATCTGGCGGGATAGAAAAGAGGAAGGCAAGGGAAAGATGCATGAGCCTGGGGAATGTTGAGGAAATGTTTAAGAGGAAGAGGGAAAAATCAGGGGAGAGAAGGAAGGAGGAGGAGGATGAGGGATTTAGGAAGAGTAGGAAAACGCAGAGATCGCCAGGGAAAATGGAGGGGGAAGGAGGGGGAGAGACAGAGGGACAGAGGGAAGGAGGGGCAGAGGGTCTAGAGGAGTTGATCAGGAAGTGGAAAAAGGAAATGGAGGAGGTAATGGAGGAAATGAGAGGGGTAAAGGGATGGAGGGAAGAATTAAGGGCGATGAAGGAGGAGGTGAAAGAAGGGATTAAAGACAATGGAAGGATGGTAAGGGAGGAAATGGAGGAAATGAGAAGAGAATTTAGAGAGAGAGAGAGGAGGTGGAAGGAGGAAAGGGAGGTCATGAAAAAAAGTATAGAAGGACTGGAGGAAAAAGTGGAAAGAATAGAGGGGAGGAAGGCGGAAAAGGGAGAAGAGGGAAGGAGAGAGGGGAGAGAGAGCGAGGGGGAAACAAAGGACAGACTAAAGAAAGTAGAAAGAAGGATAGAGATGAAGGAGAGAGAGGAGAGGAGGAAAAATATATTGATTAAAGGGGTAGAGGTGAAGGAGGGGAAGAAGAAAGAGGCGGTGGAGGAGATATTTAGAGCCGTGGGGGCAAAGGTAGAGATCAAAGAAATTAAGGGATTAGGAGGAGAGGGCGGAAAAGGAAGGGAAATGCTTTTGGTTAAGTTGGGGAACGAGGAGCAGAGAAGGGAAGTGTGGGCGAAGAAAGGAATGTTGAAGGGCAGGAGAGAAAGGATATTGGAAGACTGGACATGGGGGGAAAGAAGGATGAGATGGAGGCTGGAGGAAGTAGCACGGAAGGAGGAAAGGGAAGGGAGAAAGGTGTGGATAGGATACGGCAAGGTTAGGGTTGATGAACAATGGTGGAGGTGGGACGAGGAGGAGGAAGTGCTGAGAGATGGGAAGGGAAACATAAGACAGGGGGGACAGGGGGAAGACGGAGGAGGAGGGAAGAAGGAGGAGAGGAGGTAGGAGAGGGGGGAGGGAAAAAAGAAAGGGAAGGGCAGAAGGAAGTAAAAAAAGGGTGGAAAGGGTGGAAGGTGGCGTTCTGGAATGTTGCGGGGATGGGAAGGAAGGACATGGATTTTTGGAGGAGCATAGAGGAGTGGGACGTGATGATTCTCTCAGAGACGTGGTTGGATGAGAAGGGATGGAGCAGAATAAAAGAAAAGCTGCCAAAAGGATTTAAGTGGGGGGTACAGTTAGCGAAGAAGAGATGCAAAAAAGGGAGGGGGATGGGGGGAATGGTGATGGGAATCAGAAAGGAATTGTGGGAGAAGGGGTCAAAAATAGAGGTAGAAAAGGATGGGATGGTCGTAGGGAGAGTGAAAGTAGGTAGGGAGAGGTGGAGGATAATAGGGGTATACGCGGGGGATGGAATAGAAAGGACGTTGCAGGGGATGGAAGAATGGGTAGAGGAGAAAGAGGGGGGAGTGAGGGAGATAATAGGGGGGGATTTTAATGCAAGAACGGGAAGAGAGGGGGGAGGGGTGAGAGGGGAAGAAGAGGAGGAGGAGGGGGAGACGGGAAAAAGGCGATCGAAAGACAAGAAGATAAATAGAGAGGGGAGGAAGCTGCTGGAATATATAGAGGAAAGAGGGTGGGAGATCTTTAATGGGAGTATAAGAGGGGACTGGGAGGGGGAGTATACATTCACAGGAGGGAGGGGAAACACAGTAATCGATTATATAATAGGGGAAGGGGAGATAAGGGACAGGTTAGAGGAGATGAGGGTAGGAGACAGGGTGGACTCGGATCACCACCCGGTAGAGTTATGGGTAAGGGGGGAGGTGAAGAGGAAGAAAGGGAGGGAAGAAGGGGGTAGGGGCAGAAGGGGGATATGGGATCGTGAAGGGAGAGAGAAGTTTGCGGAAAAAATGGGAAGGATACGGATAGAAGGGAAGGGGATGGGAGAGGAGTGGGATAGTTTGGAGAGCAGGATAAAGCAGGCGTTGAAGGAGACGGAAGAGGAATTGGGAAAGGGGGAAGAGAGAAGAAAAGGATGGTGGGATGAGGAATGTGTAAGAGAAAAGAAGCGGGTAAGGAAGGAATTAAGAGATTGGAGGAGGAAAGGGGGGGAGGGAGAGAGGTATAAAAGGGAGAAGCGGGAATATGGGAAACTGTGTGAAAGGAAGAAAGAGGAGGAGAACAGAAGATGGGAAAGACGAGCGGAAGAGGCGAGAAGAGAGAGTGAGGTGTGGGAGATTGTAAATAGGGAGAGGAGGAGG